TGGAATACTATGCAACACTGAAAAACAAAGAACTCATGAAATATTATACAAAGTGGGTGAACCTGGAGGACATTATGCTGAGTAAAATATCTCAGTCACAAAAGGACAAATACTGCATAACACCACTGTTATGAAACAGGACTTACATGGGGGTTGGGGAGATATTAAGAAAAAGGGATAAATAAAGAACACTGCACTGGAAAAGATGATGGGAAGAACTGTTTAAAAGGAATACATGATTAGGCATTATTTGTAGGAAAACAGTCCAGAGGTGTATAGCAAAGTCTACTGGGGGAAGGGGGAGAGAGGAAATTATGGAACAATGAAAGAATTTTTTTTTAAAAAAGTAAACTGGGGGTAAGGGAGGAAAATGTGCAACAATGAATGAATGAAAGTTTAAAAGGGATATATTATGACAGGAGTCCAGAATGATGGCAGCATAGTGGAGTGGACTTGGGGGGAAGGACTGTATAACAATAAAAGAATTCTTTTACTTTTAAAAGAGAAGACTGAATTGGCGGGTGGGACGGGTGGGCAGGGAGAAAAGTGCAACAATGAATAAATGGAAACCCAAAGTCTCTGTAAACTTTCACTAAAATTAATTAAAAACATTTGTAATTCAAAATATATTAGAGGTAGCTGCTGTCAGGGACATTTCTGAAGTGAGTGTCTTCAATGCATATGTACTTCCAAAGCTCTATGTGAAACTACACTGTTGTGTGAGTTGTGAAATTCACAGAAAGGTGGTGAGGAACAGTTCTCGTGAAGCCCAGGACAGAATAACTTTATTCAGATTTAGATTTTCAGGTGCTGCCCCACAACCATCATCAAAGCCCATGTAAGCATTTGATTCCTTGAAGACTAAAGAAAAAACTTGTCTGAAAAGAAAATGGAAATTATACTTTTTTTTTTTAAAAAAAGGTATCTGTAAATAAATTAAAAATAATTTGAGAAAAATATACTGCAACAGAATTGTAACTTTTAATCATCTATCTTTCTTAGGCGGCTGTAGTGCTCATTCACAATAATGCAGAAGTAAATATGTCATAATAACTCATTTAAAAAATACTTATTTAACTGTCAAATTACTCAGTTCATTGAGAAATAGGAAGTTACTTGATTCACTTTGGTAAAGTTTTAGAGATCCACATTATCTGTGAGATCTAGATTTATTTTTTTTCTATATTTTATTAATTTTCATAAATATTTACAGAGATTTTGGGTTTCCATTCATTCCTTGTTGCACTATTCTCTCTACCCTCCTCCCAGTTTGTTCTTGTCCAAATGCCACAGTGCTTGTCAAAGCCAGTTCTGATTAATCTTCTTTGTCAGTGTGTCCTTTGCCATTCCCTATCACTCCTCCCTGAGAGAGACTTCACCCTGAGTCATAGGGAAAAGGGGATGGCGTATTCTCTTAGCTACTTCCTGCTGAAAAGGGACGCTGTGGGTTTCAGGGTGAAGATCTTCTCTCACTACTCTAAAGGGCCCCTTTGACAGTAGGAAACACATAGACTATTATGGAGATTGATTTTGGGATTTAGATGCACTCTTATTGATTGTGCTTGGCCGTACATGTTCATATCCTTGAAGATGTATCATGGGGGTGTTGCAACCTAGAAGGCTCAAATTTGACTAACAAGTTATAAGTACTTGAGTCCAAAAATTATGGAAAAGTAAAAGAAAAGATTCTTTCATTGTTTTACAAACCCTCCCCCAGGTCCCCTCCACCATGTAGCCCTCGCTCTAGTCTCCTGTGATGACAGAAATACCTAGTTACATATCTCTTTTAAACAGTTTTCTCCCTCCTCTGTTTCAGTGCAGTATACATTATTGAACCCATCTTACTCAGTCTCTCCCCAACAGTGGCATCATGTAATATTTGTCCTTTTGTGACCGGGATATTTCACTCAGCATAATGTTCTCCAGAGTCAACCATTTTGAATAATATTGCATGAGTTCCTTGTTTTTTAATGCAGCATAGTATTCCATTGTGCGAATATACCACAGCTTCTCTAGCCATTCGTTTGTTGATGGGCACTTAGGTTGTTTCCAACTCCTTGCTATTGTGAACAAAGCTGCAATAAACATGGGTGTGCATATATCTGCTTGGATGTCAGCTATGGTCTCTTCAGGGTATATTCCCAGTAGTGGAATTGCTGGGTCAAATGGTATCTCTATTTGCAACTTTTTGAGAAAGCGCCATACTGCTTTCCACAGGGGTTGCACCATTTTACACTCCCACCAACAGTGAATCAGGGTTCCAGTTTCTCCACAACCTCGCCAGCATTTGTTGCTTGCTGTTCTGTTAAATTTTGCTATTTTGACTGGGGTTAAATGATATCTCATAGTTGTTTTAATTTGCATTTCTCTTAGGGCTAGGGATTTTGAGCATTTCTTCATGTGTTTGTTAGCCATCTGAATCTCATCTTCGGTGAAGTGCCTGTTCATATCCTGTGCCCATTTTTCTATTGGATTATTTACCTTTATCTTGTTGTGGTGTAGATTTAATTTAAAAGTATGTAAGAATATCTTAAGGCTGGATAGTGTGTGAGAAAGAGAGAGATTTTGATTTGTTATCAAAAGTTGTCATTAGTATAGTTTGTGCATGTTGAAATACAAGCTCATTAGGAATCAGGGCTAGATCTCTCTTAGTAATTCTCTATTTCCAAAAGCTAGTAGTGGCAACTAGTAGGTATTGAAAATGTTTACTGAACATTTTCAAGAAACCTGGAGGAGAAAGCACTTAACTCTATGTTATTACACATCTTTTCTACAGTGACAAATATTATTCTTAACATAGGACTTGTACTGAAACATAAAGATGCATTTAAGGATAAGATTTTTTTTAAAGTATTTAAAAATATATTCTTACTCTTCTGTGCTTATCTGAAAGTTCTAGAGATAGCACAGAGATTAATGTAATCTTATTTAGTTACTTTAAGGGAACTCTGGTGGTCTAGTGGATAGGGAGTTGCACTGTCAACCCAAAGGTTTGTGGTTCTAATTACCCTGTCCCTCTGCAGGAGGAAGATGGGCAATCTCCTTCTCTTGCTATTTGGAGCCTCTAAAAAGCTGCTGGAGGGTCGGTTTTGAGTTGGTTTCACATTAGGGTACATAACAACAAGATGAAGCTCTTTAGTGTTGAATACTCTCAAATGCACCCAAAACATGAGAACCTAGAATTTTCTTTCAAAATACTATACCTGATTCATTCTGGGCAAATCTTTAATGCTGTCTTCTTTTTTGTGAAGCTCCTCTTGCCACTGATTTAGGTATGCTTGAATATCAACTTTGCCTTTGCCTAAATGAAAGGAATAAAAATCCATCTGATAAAAAGCAGCCCATTATATTTCCCCAGATCTCAAAAAAGAATAACTCTGATTTAAACACATTTTACTAAAATGAAAAAGTTCATCTAAAAAAAATCCAGTCAAATCTGGTTTTATTTTACCCAGGGGTATCTAAAAAAAAAAAATTAATTTGGGTAAGTTGAGAACAGGAATAATGTGAAGAAAGGAAAAACAGATGCATTTAGAACAAGACAGTACACCATAGCTTAATGATGCAAATTGCATGCAAACATTTTCATACATAGCATGAAATTAAAAATGGCTTGTCTATTACATTCTACAAATGCATACACCATAGTGGCCTATAGGGGCTTTTTTTTTAAAAAAAATTTTTTTTATAGGGGCTTTTTAAAAAAAAAATTCGAGCCATCACTTTATTCACTCACTCTTTAAAAGGATTAAATCTAGATGTTATTGTTATCAATGTATTAGTAATTTTGGGGGGTGAGCCTCAGGCCAGAAAGCATGAAGGCAGGGGGCTAACAGCTGGGAGAACTGAAGCCCCTATGCTATGCCTTTCTGGGTTTTTATTGAGAATCATCAGGAAGGTAAACAAAAGAAAATCACAAGAAAAAACAAAGGATAATGGGGAAGTCTTTTGTAAATTCTTCTCTATTGTTTACCTATGCTTATCTCAGGAGGGAGGGATTCAGTAAATACAAACTAAGAATTATGTAGACTCTTAAGGATTGCCTTAATGCTTACCCCTGCAAACATTTAAGGATTGCCTTAGTGCTACAGGGTGAATTCTAGCTTGTATTATGTCTCCCTCATATCCTGATATAGCATTTGGTCTATTTTTAATATTAAATTTGATATTCAGCTTCCCACATTTCCCTCCTTTTCTTAAAGCATAATTATGTGGTCATCAAGACGAGTCTGATTTCTTTTCTTCAGGATTCACTCTTGCGTGCTTTTTGTTCTCTTCATCCCTGAGTGAATTCCCTTTCGGTTTCCTGGTGTATGCAAGAGAGAGAGAGAGAAACCACCGCCTCTTCTGGTCCCTGGTCCAGATGCCAAAATGTTGTCGACCAAAGGAAAAGACAGAGATGGGGACACACAGGAATGGGAGTTGGGCCAGAAAGCGTGAAGGCAGGGGGCTAACAGTTGAGAGAACTGCAACTGTATTAATACATTTTTAATTTAAAGGAGCTCTGGTGGCCTAGTGGCAAGAAGCTGCACTCTAATCCCAAAGGCATGTGGTTCAAGGCTACCAGCTGCTTTGCAGGAGAAGGATAGGCAATCTCCTCCCATGCAATTAACTGCTTCTGAAAACCCACTAGAGGGCCAACTATGGGTCGATTCCAACTTTATGGTACAACAACAACATATTTTTAGGATCCCTTAGAAAACTGGATGGAAATACGGAAATCAACTGGAGATAATATTGAAAAGATCCTTACTAAGTATTTTTTTTCTTTTTCTACTTTGTTTTTATTGTTGTAAAAACACATTGTAATACAACTAAAAAATAAGTTATGATACGGGGAGCTCTGGTGGCCTAGTGGCAAGGAGCTGCAACTACAAACCCAGAGGCACATGGTTCAAATCCACCAGATGCTCTGCCGGGAAAAGGAGGGTCAATCTCCTCCTGTACCAGTCAGATCTGATTTGACGGTACACTCACACAAAAATAAAAAAATTAAAAAAAATAAGTTATGATACAAGGAAAAAGATGGACTATTCTACCCATTAAAAAAGAGTCATGTCCAACAGAACAGACATAAAAGAACTATACATGTTATATAGCAAAATCTAGTGATTGAATTGTAGAGCAATATTTACGGAAATATTTTTAATTTGTATTAAAAATGTATATAGGTCTGGAAAGGATATAAACTAAAGTGTTGTCAGCATTTACCTCAGGGAAGGGGACTTGAGGACTTCTGTACTGTATCAATTCCTTTTATAAGGATTATATATTACCTTTGTACTTAAAAAGAAATGTTTTTAAAATAGTAAAATTAAGTTCATATAGTTAATTTACCATTACGTTTTCTAAAATTTAAATATTGGAAGGAGGAAAATAAACTGTTAAACCAGTACAAAGCTCTGAGGACAAATAAATAGCCTTTAAAACGATTGACTTTTTCTCCCTGGGAAGTTAATCCTGTTTACGAAAATGCTAACATAATAAACAAAATTAAATGATCCTAGCATGGTACCTTTTTCAGGGCTACTTTTTACTGATTCTGTCTCCTTTTCATCTGTAGATCTGGAAACTAGAGGAAAATATTTTGTAAGACATTTAATAAGTGTGAAATTAGCATAATAGTGCATGTTACTTTCTTTGATTCATCAAGTCATTTTTTGCTGATTTGACTTATCATCAGGAGATAAGTAGTTAAGAACTTTCACTGTAAAAAAAAGAATGCTGAGGGGGAAAAATTATATTTAAAAAAATCCTAGAAGTATACAAAATATTTTTTTCAATATGTAAGCTCTAGGTGTTTTAGTGGTAAGGAGTTGTGCTGCCAACCCAAAGGCATGTGGTTCGAATCCACGAGCGGCTCTATGGGAGAAAGATGCACTATCTCCTTCCACGTGATTTACAGCCTCTGGAAACACACTAGAGGATCACTGATGAATTGGTTTCAACTCAAGGGCACATAACAATGCTAATAACAAATGGTCTCTTGAAACTTAACATTTAAATAATTTAACATAAAGTAACCAAAAATATACATTAATCAGACCTCATTCGTCCAAAAAGACACTGAGTATTTATGAAACCAAAGCAAAGAGCAGAAAAATAAACTTGTATCACTTCCAAATTATGACTTGCACACAGCTTCATCCCTGTATTTTATACCTACAGCAATTTATAAGTATTTCCTGAATAACTATGACCATCAGTCAAGAAAGATTCTATTTCATGATATTTAACCAGGCATGAAAATGGCCTGATACACTTTGGAAGCAGGAGTGGCACCCACTTCCTAAATAACATGCCTCTGGAAACTCTATGAACTTTGAGAAAATTCAACAGTTGAAGAAGGGCTTCAGGCCTTTTGTTCATATAAGGGTTGCAATGAGTCATGCTCAAGTAGAAGGCAATCAACAATGCTTTAGATGGAAATGCTAATGGAAATAAAAATTCATTTTTATGAACTCTCCAGTGAACAGGAAATTCCATAAATCAAAATCCAAAAGTTCAGTTTGGTTCATCAGTCAAATACTTATGGACTACTTACCAGGAATTCAACAGTAGGCTACCTACCAAATCCACTACTTTCAAGTACATTTCAACTCACACAGGACAGAGTAGAATTGGCCCATTGGATTACCAAAGGTAGAAATCTTTACAGAAGTGGACTGTTACATTTTTCTCCCATGGAGTAATTAGCAGATTTTAACCTATCAGCTGTCAAGCACAACCACTGCACTACCAGGACTCTTTCCACTGTGTCAAGTACTATGGTAAAACAGAAGTATAACTGACCCAAATTTTACTACTTTTAGCTGGGTTAAGACAACCCAAGGTAGGGATATTTCTGAGACCAATTATCAACATAGATACCTTTCTAAACAGAAATTTACCTTTCAGCTGACTGAAATGAAGTAATTCTTCCTCAGAAAGGTCATCTCCTTTTGAAGGGTCCTGACACTTCACATCAGTATAAGCTGAAAACAGATAACCCAAATGTGTCTTTATGATGTGGGAGACAAAGATGGGGACTACAATGGGTCAGAGTCAGGTAGGGCGTTACAGGGTCTAAAAAGAGGACATTCACTGAGTGGTGCTATTTTATTAACAAAGAATAAAAAGTTCTCTGTTATTTTGAGTTCTAATATTTCTCCTCAGGGAGTTCTGGTGGTATAGCCTGTATAGGTAATAGTCCTTCTAACCCAAAGATGATGCCTCTCTGGAAGTCTGAATCCACCAGCTGCTCTGCAGGAGAAAAATGGGCAGTCTCCTCTGGTACATTACCGTGTCCAAAAACCTGCTGGAGGGCCAGCTATGAGTCAGTTCTGACCTGATGGCAATGAGTTTTTTTATAGTTTTCTGAGAGCCATTACAAGTTGACATAAGAAAATCTGCATGTGGAAATCTCTGAAAATGTAACCTTAGTCATTAAAACACTTTAGTAACAAAATGAGGGACTGTAATATTCTAAATTATTTTTGAAGACAATAAGGATTAAGTGTTAAAGTCATACACTAGGTAGATAAAAAATTTAACGAAGAAAACATGAAGATTCACGCTTTGGTTCACTTTTACTTGTGCTTTAATGGATAGCTCTGATGGCTTAGTGGTATAGAATTGCTCTGCTAATCCAAAGGCATGTAGTTCGTACCCACCAGCTGCTCCCTGGGAGAAAGATGGGCAGTTTCTTCTCATTTGAGGGTTAGTCATGAGTCGGAACCGACAGTACATAATAATAAGTGAAATGTATCTGATGGCAGTATTAGACCTTCTAAGAACAATTTGACCTAACAAGGTAAATTTTTTAAATTTGCCTTTTAGTTTTAAGGTTGTGTTGGTGATTTGAACGTGTGAAAAGATTACTCCTTCTTTGTTTTTCTGGTCTGATGAATAGTTCTTGGCTATACTGGGAAGAGTCCTTTTCAAAGAGCACCCAACTGTAACTTTAGAAGAATTGTTTTGGCTATGTACAACTGAGTTGGAACTGACCCATTGCCCACCCCCCTCCCCATTTAGTGAGTTTTCAGAGGTGGTTAATTACATGGGAGGAGACTGCTCCTCTTTCTCCCATGGAACAGCTGGAGGATTTAAACCACATGCCTTCAAGTTGGCCGCACAGCTCCTTTCATTAGGCCACCAGAGCTCCCTTTAGAAGAATTATGAGGTGCTGCCAAAAACAATAACCACCTTATCTAAGCTAAAAGGTACCTTTTGCAATGTGTCTTCAGTTTAAAACCTAACATTGCTTTCCTAAAGCACTGGACAAGGCTAAGAAAGGTAGTCTCTTCAAGTCAGTAGGACACACTAATGTAAACTGGAATTGTGTGCTAAGAATAGCAAGAAACCTGAACTTTGGAGTCAGACAACCCCTTGAATTCCAGCTATGCAATTTCATTAGATATGTAATTTTTCAGCAAGTTATTTAACCTTCCCTACTCTCGGTTTCCTTATCAAAACTGGAAGAATAATAGCACCTCTCCTAGCTATTGTGAAGATCAAATAAAAGAATGCATGTAAAGCAGGGCTTTGAACCAGTTTCAAACTCATTCATTCCAGTTGGACCCTGTGTTCCCACCCTAGATAAAGGGAATCAAAATCTACATTTCATGTAGGTTGCTACAGAGGCTTATATACTTAGAAACATAACCTGGACATGTTAAAGTGTAGATATGAATTCAGAATATCTGAGGTGGAAAGACAAATACCCCAGGTTGAACTGGAGTGAATTTGATTTGAAGCCTTGATGTAAAATAAATGCTTTCACAAACAATATGCTCAGTAAAAAGTTGATTTTATTTTGCTTTCTTTTCCAATTCTTATTATCCCTGTTACCTTGTCAGGTGGAGCTCTGGTACCTTAGTGATATGGAATTGTGCTGCCAATGCAAAGTTACGTGGTTTAATTCCACTAGCTCCTCCATGGGAGAATGATGGGAAGTCTCCTCCCATGTGATTGACTGCCTCTGAAAACCTGCTGGAGCTATGGGGCCAATTCCAAACCTGATAGTACTCAACAACAACCACTTTGTCAGGAGGGGCCAGTCCATGGAAAAAGACATGTTAGGAAAGATAAAGGGTAAGTGACAGAGGACGATCCCTCAGCAAGATAGATTGCCACAGTGAAGGTAACAACATGCTTGAGTATATCAGAGATAGTGAGGATAGGCTAGGGCTTAAATCTGTTGTTCATAGGATTGCTCTAAGTCAAAGTAGACTCCATGGCATCTAACAACAACAACAACAACAATAACAACAACAATCTCGTCCTATAGTTCTGAATAATTTTTTTAGGTGTGTGTTTGTTGATTGGTTTTTTGGTTGTTGTTATTTAAGTTTGGAAGTTTGTCTCCAATTTGTCTAAATGCTATTCTCTAATAGCAACAACAATAAAATGCAACATCCCAATATTCAAATGATATATAGCTTTTGTATACAAACTATTTAGCCTCTAATTGACTTTTAAAACTCCATTTAACACAGAATCTCTTACACAGAATTCATTACATCAGTAAAAATAGTGGACATCTGTGGACCACAAAGAATCAGACTATATGTCATATTAAAAGTATGTTATTTGTTAAAATGGAATTATATCTGTAATCATATTCATTAAAATGGAATAAACTCCTTCTTTACATCATTAAACCCAAACCAACTCATTACTGTTAAGTCTATTCTGACTCATAGAAACCCTATAGGACAGAGTAGAATAATCCTCATAGGGTTTCCAAAGCTGTAAATTATGATGAAAGCAGACTGCCACATTTTTCTTCCCTGAAGCAGCTGAAGGGTTGGAACTGCTGACCTCTCAGTTCACAACTGAGCACTTAAACCACTACACCATGAGGGCACCTTCCTGTACATCATAAAAGATTGTTAAAATCTTACCTGGAGGAATATGCAGCTTAAAAAGCAGTTTAAGCTTCTCAGTAAAACTTCCATTGTATATTATGTCTGTTCAATAAAATGCAATTGTAAATAATCATGCATCCAAAGAACATCCAATTAACTCTAGCAACACAGATTAAGGCTAGAGATATTACCCAAGAACCAGGAACTAAAAACTTTGTTACTTAAGTTAATAGTTAACCAACTACTCAACCAAGCCAAATCCGCTCCAAGCATATAAGAAAATATCCTTTATCAGAGGGTAATACATTCTCCTGTTGATTTCCTTTGCCCCAGTTTCAGATTTTTTTAAAATTTGAAACATGGCCTTATGCTTCATGTTAGGAGAAAAGTGCTTTTTAATGGGCAATCCCTAAGTACAAAGTGTGCTGGGATGACCTGGGAAAGTAAAGATATAAATGATGCAGCTGGGTACAACCTGTTTGTTGGCTAGTCCCCTACCACTTTTCTAAGATGAAATGTTGAGGTAGAAAATTCTTCTGCTGTATCATCCATGCACCTGAATGTGGGAAAACCAGGTCATTTGTTCTCTTTCTTCACTGAAACACCCACATCTAACATTTTGCTTCTCTGGGAAGTTGGAGCAAAATTAAATTAATATACTTAGACTTGGCAACAGACACAGGAACAAGGTCTAGCTATTGCTCAAGCTGGAGGTGATGTAACCCAGAGTAATATAATTTCATGATAACAAGCAGTATTAAAAATTTACAGGTTTTACTTTGTGGTTATTTTTTTCCCTTTTAAAAAAGAAAAAAAGATTGGATAGCATCCTACCAATTGCAGAGGCGAACTTTTTGAAGTTTATAAGGCAGTCAGAGTTTTCATCCAACAATCTGAATGTCCATAAAGCTAATGAATCTCTGTTTGCAGAATGAGCCCAGGGACTCAAAAGGTGATACAATACTCTGAACTGTTGGCAGTCAATCTGATATTGTTCCAAATATGGCAGACTAGGGTCATGGTGCTTCAATACTGGACAACTTGGACACCAATAACAAGAAACAAACAGTTCTTTCTATTAAGAACAAAGGGGGAAAAGGTCATTACATCTGAAAAGGAAGAGCCTTTTCTTATAAACATCTCTATCACAGTAGTTAAAATATTTACAAGTACTTGTGATAATTTTCTCCTAAAACAACATTACTTTTCATTTAGAGAAGAGTATCTACCTTAAAGATGAGATAAAGTTCATCCAATTCCTGAAGGTTCATTTTCACATCTTGTGATACAACACGCAACTTTAAAAAAAGATTAAAAGCAATTTAGAACTTTAAAATACAGAAAATATCTTGATTATGCTTAAATATCTCCCAGTGTGAAAGGAAACATTTTCATATACTTCACCCTTAGCACATAAGAAAATTTGTCAAGTCATCATGTAGGGTTGTAAGCTAAACACTACAAAGGCACTGGGAGATGCATATCTCACTCTGTGAAAAATGATAATCCTAGAAGTTTGAAAATACTCAATTTTATACTGCTCCACGAAGAATAAGCACTAGTGATACAATCATTGTATTATTTAAGAAGTCTAAAAGTAAGGGTAAATATGATAAAAGATAGAATTAATGAAATAGGCAATTTTCCCCCCTAAAGTCCCCGGAGACTAGATAAATAAAGTCAAGAGTTGGGTACTTGAAAGGAATAAATAGATAAATCTCTGGTAAATGTGATAAATCACAAGTAAACATCACTGAGAAATAAAGGGATAATATAAACATTTATACAATTCAACTCAAATTATAGTAGTTTTTTAGAGGCTACAGTTTCTATTTCTCTCCTGAGAAGCAGTTTTGTGTATTTAAACTGCATGGCTTTGAACCAGCAGCACATCTTCCTACTAACTAGTCTGATAGAGCTCTCTCAAACACTGAAACAGGTCATTAAAGGTGTCATATATATGGATTGCATGAATTCCATAAGCTTTCTAGCAATACATCTAGAATAGATGTTTAAGTGAAATTACTAATTGTGGTGTCAAGTATTTATTATTCAAAATGGCTTTTCAAGTCTTTGACTTTATCTCATGACAGGGTTGGAACATGCACATAAAGTGTTTCGTCTATCTACAAAAAGATTGGATAGTCTTGCCATTCCGTTCCAATTGGTTTAAATTGAGTAAGTTCAGCTTTAGTAGCAGAAATCTGAGAATCTCACTACCAGCAAGGAAGAAGAAGCAGGGAGTGCAACACTCATCCTTCAAGGCCAGTGATTCCATTACCAGTGAGACTAGGATCTAAAAGAAAATAGTAGCAACCTCTCCAGAGAACTAGAGAATGACATGACACAGAGCTGACTTGGGACTGTTGGTTGTCCCATGGAGCTGGAGCCAGGGGCCTTCACTCAAGCTTACTGGAAGAAGGAAGGAAAATGCCATAACTGGTAGGTCTAAGTAAACTTTGTAACACTGACTTAAACTGTGAGGTTGAAGGTGAAGGGGTCTTTGAATACACCAGAAAAACTGTCTGGACTGAGGAATTGTATCCTGTTGCCAACCTAAACTATAATCCGTTAACTTCCCTTATAAAGCCCATAGCTGTGAGTATAGTTCTATGTGGTCATTGAAATAGATTTCTGACCCAGTAGAGCAGTTAGTAGATGTATGTGAAAGATCATAGACTATATTGGACCTTACAGAAATTAGTTTTTAATGTGGATGTTATTGAGGGAGAGAGTTAGGTTTGATATAGTTATCTCCATGCTGTCTACATTAATTTCATAATAATTCTCTAGAAAAATATAAATTAGCAAAATTAATTTAGAAAGTGTAAGATAGTATGAATAGAAGCAGCAAATTGAGATTGTTTTACAGGGTGTTTTTGTTTGTTTTTTAAAGAAACCCCTTTAAGTTAATGGAACATTCCTATGTGATATAAAGTATTGCAGCGCATAGAAAAATAGAGAATATTCAAAAATTAATTCTATTATGTGAGCACAATCCTGATACGAAACCTAACTTTATTAGCACAATAAAAGAAAACTTTAATCAATGTGTCATGTAGGCACATCTGAGGCACAAATAGAGACTTGTATACCACTGTTCATAGCAGTGTTATTCACCATTGCAAGAACAAGGAAACAGCCCACATATCCAAGCACAATCGAAAGGTTTGAGAAATTATGAGCACATTCACACAATGGAATACTATGTAGCACGCAGGAGCAATGATTTTGTAAATTACTACAGGGACTGGAGAGCATTATGCTAAGAGAACTAACTCAGTCTCATAAAGACAAATACTGTATAAGCCCATTATTGTAGAGTGAGTATAAGGATCCAAAGGGGGCGGCTTATTCATAGGGCCACACAATTTGATAGGTGGAGGGACGGATGGGTAAAGGAAAGGGGAAAGATCCAGTGTGAAAACAATGTATACAAACTTTATGAACTTTATATGTAAATCAGTATAAAATTTTAAAAAAATACTTAAAAACTTTAGCATATCCAAACAAATTGCTTTTATACGCACATCAATCAGAAAATGTAATGGAATAATATATTAATCAAACCATAACATACAAGGCTTATAATACACCTAACAAGAAATGTGTAAGATCTAGACCAAAAAAGTATAAATCTGTAGGACATTAAAATAAATATTTGATTGAAATAGATATGAAAAGGATATCTGAAAGTCTCAAAGGATTTAAGATTTCAAAATGGACTATAAAGTTACAATAATTTAAACAACATGGTATTGTTGCAGGGACAAAAAGAGTCTAAGAATAAATATACTTATGTATATAAGAATTTTTCATATGAGAAACAATACTGTAAGAATAGACTAACCAATAGATGATATTTTCCTCCAGCAGGAAAAAAAGATATTAGAAGAGCCAGATGGTGCTTGTTTAGCAATGTTGACTGCTCTGAAAGGAGTCATAATGGAAAGTAGAGTAGGAGAAAAATAGAGTATAAAACTCAAGATCATATTTAAAAAAATCAAGCTTACTGATCTGAAAGACACTGAGAGAACCCCTGAGACTATAATCCTTAATTACCTTTCAAGCCTGGAACTGAAATAACCCTCATGAAATAAATTCAAGCCAATCAATAGGTCAAAAAGGTGATCTATAACAACAGGGAGGAACACATTCCTTTAAAAAAATCAACTCTACAAGCAGAGAGAGAGAGCAATTGGCCTAGCGGACAGAAAGCGATGCTCCTAAGCCAAAGGTGGGTGACTCTACTCTGCAGCCGTCAGGCCTGCCTTTAATTGTTTTTGGTGAAAAATTCTTCTACGTCGTATAACCCTGGTATGTCCACTTGCTGTACAAAGGTCACTCGTGGTTGCTGTGAAGCCGAACAGGAACACTGTGACACTGAGGAGTCAAATGCGAGAATGGTTACCCATGGTTAACAATGTTTGGTGGAGCTCCCCAACTAAAAAAGCTTGGAAGCAGGAGTGGCATCCACTTCCATAATAGCTTGCGCCTGGAAACCCTATGAACCTGGAGAAAGGACAAAAGTTATACAGTTGTCCAGGACTTTCATTCACAGGGTCACTATGAGTCGCCTGAGACTTAACAACAATAACATACAAGAGCAAAAGGAGAAGCATTTATTTGCCCAAGGATAAAGCTCAGAAGATAGGAAAGAATAAGATAAAGAGATTAATGGAGACAAGAATACAGGGAAGAAGTGAGAAGAGTGTGATTATACTGGTGGACTGTAATCAATGTTACAAAACATAAAGTGTATGAACTGTTGAATGACAACCCAATTTGCTCTGTAAACTCTAACTGAAATCACAACAGAAAGTTAAAATATGGTCTTATGGAGTCATACTACTCTATCTTATAGGGTTGCTGTAAGTCTGAATTGACTTAATGACAAAATCCCCAAATTTAAAAAGTAATATTAGAATCCTATCATACCATAAACAAAATAGACACTTTAGGTGTATATTAAAGTGATAAAAGAGAGAAATGCCAGTAATAAAAACCAGGAAGAGGAAAGATTTCTGCAATGTTAAATTGGAAAGGTCTTGCTAAGTTTCACAGGAAGCACAAATATCATGAAGGGAAAAAGAGAAAGACTAAACATTACAATAACAATTTGAATGAAACTTGTGTACTCTGAAAGATATATTACAAAAAGAAACAATATGACTAGGGAAAAATACTAGCCAAAAATACATCTGACAAAGAATTAACACTACTAATATCTAAAGAATGGCAAGAAACAAAAACATTTCAGGAAGTACTATATGGTAATGAAGAAGGAAATGGAAATGGAAGTAGCACTGAAGGGATTGGCAAAAAATAAAGTCCCAGAAACTGATGGGATACTCACTGACTTGTTTCAATTAACAGATATAGCCTCGGACGCACTCACTAGTCTATGCTAGGAAATTTGGAGAACAGCTGTCTAGCCAATGGATTGGAAGCAGTCCATGTTTGTTAACATTTCCAAGAAAGGTGTTCAAACTGAATGTGGAAACTATTGAACACTGTCATGAATATCTCATGCAAGCAAACTACTGGAGATCGTTCAAAAGCAGCTCAAACTGTACATAGATAGGTAAGTGCTAGAAGTTCAAGCAATATTTAGAAGAAGCTGTGGCACCACAGATATTATTGCTGATGCCAGATTTACGCTGGCTAAAAGTAAAAAATACCAGAAGAATGTCTACTTGTGTTTTATTGACTGTGCAAAAACATTTGACTGTGTGGATCATAACAAGTAGTGGCTGACATTGAGAAGAATGGGAATCCCAGAGCACTTAATGGCGCTCAAGTGAAACCTATACCTGGACCAGGAGGTTGTTCTGTGAACAGAGCAGGGAAACACGGAATGGTTTAAAATTAAGAAGGGAGGGTGTCAGGGTTGTATAATCTCTTCATAATTGTTTAGTCAGTATGCTGAGCAAATTATTTGAAAAGTTGGGCTCTATGAAAAAGAATGTGACATTGAGACTGGAGGGAGACAGATGACAGAACCTTGCTTGCTGAACGTGAGGACGACTTGAAGTACTTTTTGCAGAAGATCAAGGAATGCAGCCTTTGGTATGAATTGCATCTCAATGTCAAGAAAACGAAAATTCTTACCACTGGACTGACAGGCAATATCATGATGGATAGAGAAGAGTTCAAAACTGTCAATAACTTCATCTTGCTTGGATCCACAATTAACACCCTTGGTAAAAGCAGTCAGGAAATAAAGAGACGTATTGCACTGGGAAAATCTGCAGTTAGGGACCTCTTCAAATTATTGAGGAAGTGCATCTGATTCAGG